AGCTGTGCCCGGAATGGGGCCACTCGCCTGGTGAGGGGCTCCGGTCCTGCACCGTCCACCGTGTGCACTTCCCTTCTTTCCTACCGGCTGCCTCCCATGAAGCGGGCTTCGGGAAGCTTTCAGGCGACCGGGTAAACCTGCGCCGTCCGCCTCGGGGTTGGCTAGCGGCCACTATCACCGAGCTCTACAATGCGACCGGGCAGTGTGACCCGGAGTGAGTGTAACGCACAGTGAACACACGGATTGAGGATGGAAGAGGAGTGTACGATATTCCCTTGATGACTTTTTATATGGATACGTTGGAATATTTTGTTGGGTTAAGTGAAAATATTAAAATTTCAGATTTATATTTCTTTAACGTGACTTCAGAGCATTTAAAATAATATGCATGGCCGGAATGTTAGCTTCTGTCCGGCGGCGCAATTCGGACGGAGCAGCGCCTTAACCCTCAAAGGCTCAAAGCCCAACCCCCAACCCCGTCGACACTCTTCATTTATGTTCACTTACTTCCTCGGTTGTGAAATGCCACCCCCACTAAAACTCATCATCGATTTAATAACTTGGCAGGAGGAAGACACTGCTACATTAAATGTACACGTTGGCTATAGTAACATCTTGGTTTTAAAAATGGTAAAACAGAAAAAGTATGCTTTTGTATTTGAGAGAGTGCATTTGTTGACACCTTGCTCCTGAGGGCATGTGTTCTCATATCCTATGCAGTATTCCTTCTAGAATATGAATTTCAGAAGGTCAAGACCAGGTTCTCTGTGCCCCTCCCCCAGTGCCAGTAGAGCTAGTCAGGAGGAAGTGGTTGTACCTCCTGGGGGGTACTTTACAGGAGCTGGGCTTCCCGAAAGAAAAGGCTATGAATGTGTGTCTGCAGCCTCCACCCCACTTCCGTGTTCTGGCCTGGGTGCTGGCCCACAGAGCAGCCGGCAGGGCTTCATAATAAGCATCACAGGCCTGCTCTGCTCTCTGGGAACCAGTGGGAACTGCCTCATGTCTCCTGCCCAGTCTACCCACATTTTTGTGATTGCAGTGACTGTTTTACAGACCACAATTTGGGGCCTGATACAAGGGATCTTTGTACCACATCTCTATTTCAGAGGCACTCATGAAATCTGAGTTGATACCTAAATTTGGGGACTTCATAGTTTTTTCAGCTAGTAGAATGAAGATATACTTGCTGACGGTTTGGAGGGAGCTTGGCCTCACAACATATGGTAAATAGTTGAGACTACTGGGACCAAGGGAAGAATAGACCAGATGCAGAACAGCAAGGATCTGAGCTGCTGGCAATGTTTGAGCCTCACTGTGGTTCAATTTGAACTCCCCGGTCGAAACCAAAGGCAATTGGGATACACCTTGATGCAGGTGATGACAGGGCCACTATTCTGCAGCCTAGATGGACACAGCAAGTCATCCTTCTGTGAGGACCAGGGCCTCACCAGGGCTCTGGTGTCGGTGGGGGCATAATACTTCCATGCTTTGTCTGCACTGATGTACCTTCTCAAAGCACAGTCACCCATCATGAATTGACCTGTGCACTGACCTGTGCAGGAGCAGGAGGGAGGCCCCAGGTCTCCAGTTTCTGGGGTTGGTAAATAGCTGGGTGAGGTGAAGGGGTGCATCCTGTCCCCCAGAACATAGGCCAGGCCTTGGCCCTGAGGGGAGGGCTAGTGTCTTTTTCCTAAGGCCACTCACAGGCCTTTCAAGGGCAACTCTAGGAAGAAGTGATGAAGCCATGGTCACTCTCAGGCTAGTGCCCTGAACTGAGTGTGTCTTTGGAGGGCAGAGCCTACCCACCTGGCAGCTGTGGCTCTGGCATCTCTGAACCCAGCGCAGTCAGCTCAGGATAACCTCTAGGGGTCTCACACCCAGAAAAGGTGCTCACTGGTTAAACAACTGAGTGATCAAATGTTTTGATAAAGACTACTGTCAGAGTTCTCTGGGCGCGGTAAGTGCTGGTGGCGTGGCGGGTGGCTAGGTGCCATTGAGCAGACTCAGCTACGGAAGGTAAACCATTGGTGACATCTAAACAGAAGACTGCAGTGGTGTGTGGAGTCCCCATCCAGGTGGTCTGCACAGCGTTTAGCAGTCACATCCTGGTGGTGGTGACCCAGTTGGGGAAGATGGGTACCCTGGTCTCCCTGGAACTCAGCAGTGTGACCAGTGACATTGGCAAGCCTGTGCTTACCACTAAAGTCCTCCTTGGGAAGGGTGAGCCTCTCATCCATGTCTTCGCAAAGAACCTGGTGGCATTTGTGTGTCAAGAAGCTGAAAACAGAGCAGTGCTCCTCACCCTGAACATGAAGGACAAGAGCATGGTGGTGGTGAAGGCTCTGAAGGAGGTGATCCAGACATGCCAGGTGTGGTGACCCTGGAGTGGCCACCTCTGCTGTCCAGGAGGGCCATGCGGCAACTCAAACACCCTCTCAAGGATTTGAAGGTCCTCCTCTAGTTAGGAGCTCTCTCTGGCTTTGGCCCTTGAAGTTGGAAGAAACAAACACCTCAGGCTGACCTTAGTTTGGAGGCTGATGTCCCCTGTGGCAGGAGGACAGGAAACATGTCCTGAGAAGGTTGTGAGTCCTCCTCCCCAGGTCCAGACAGCTGCACATGTGTGAGAACTGACAGAATGAGTCATGGTCCTCAATTTTGGGGGGAAAATTTTTTAAATTAAAAATAAACGCGTATCCCCCTCCAAAAAAGAAATGAGTTCTCTGGACTTCCTGGTGATCCATTGGCTAAGACCAGGGTTCCACTGCAGGGGACACAGATTTGATTTCTGGTCAGGAAACTAAGATCCTGCATTCCACATGGTGTGGGGGGGGAAAAAAAGCATTCTCAGAATAAGACTACTCCTTTTCAATCCAACTGGAGGTTTTGAGAGTTAACATCAAGCTCATGAACACCCAGGAATCCTCTTTACTTGGAGATTTCTACTGTGGAACAGCAGCAGGGGGCCAAGGGCTGTGCTATGGGCCACAAAGGCTTGCACACAGGCGAGCTGGGACACAGGTGGGACACAGCAACCAGGTCAGTGGTGAGCGAAGCCGTGGTAGACTGAAGTGGACTTGGATTATAAAGCATGACAGTGCTGGGTGTGAAGATTCTAGTAAAGCTGCATATGTAACTGCATATAAGTAACGTGAGTAGTCACATGAAAGGTGCTGACCTGGTGCCCATCGCCACACTCCTCAGTGGAAGAAGGGTCCCTGTGGGGGATGACTGAGGGCCATGGACAGGAGGGAGTGGAGAGGGTCACAGGTGCTGGCTCATACGGGCGGGGAGGCCAGGCTCAGGAGCTCTGAGCTGTACAAACGGGTTTGGGGTGGGACCAGGAGGATCAGGTTAGACTTGGGACCTGAGAGACACGTCATGCAGGTCCTACAGGTGCCACCTCATGTTAACCTTCATCAGGGGAGGAACCAGAACAAAGTCCTGGCTGTTGGCAGGGTGCCTGTCCAACCTGGCACTTGGGGTCTGAGTTCACGAATCAAAATCAAGCTTGGAAAATCCAAGAGTCAAGACAGTATTATTAGCCCTTCTGGCCTGCCAGAGCCTCCAAAAGCCCTTGCCCAATAAACCAAATTGCTGACAGCACAGGTTAACGCTAGATTTGAAGATTTTCACTGGACATTTTAGGAAGTGGATTGGGAGAGTTGGAGGGGCTCTGGCTGGCCCTGGGGCTCCTCTGGCTGGCTGAGACTATAGTTGCTGCCTGGAAGCCTTTCACCTCCAAAGGTAGGGCTGTTTCAGAGGTTGGGGCATCTCAGTTTTGTCAGAAAGGCCTTGGGCCTGGGAACTCAGGGCTGTGCAGTCTGTCTTCCCCTGCTTGAGGCTGGTGGTCCCGGGAGAGGTTGGTTGGGGTCTCTGTCCCCTGTGGCTGTGACTCTTGGATTTGTCTGGGCCAGCTGCTGCAGAAAGTGGCAGTTTGTCCTGGTACCCAGCACAGGGCCCCACCTCCAGAAGCCCACAGGGGCCCAGGGGTAAGGAAAGCCAGGCAGTAACCAGTCCTGTGGGAGCCACCCTGGCATGGCATGTGGTCACTGGCCGGGGGGTGGGAGTGAAAGGGTACTTCCTGGGCTGCTCCAGCTGGCAATAAACTTTAAGGGCTCACCCCGCTGTTAAGAACTGGGAAAAGTGGCAGCCTCTAGGAGGCGTAGCCAGGGCGGGAACACAGACAGCAGCAGCCTAGGTGTGGCACACACTTTTCTCACCAGCTGAGCACAAAGGCAGATTTCACCCTAAAAGTTTTGCCACCGAGCCATAAAATGGGATTTCTGGACTCAACCTTCTGTCTGGGTGGAACTGGGGATTCCCATTTGCCCTCTCCTTCAGTCGGTAAGGGGTATCTTAGTTCCCAGGCGCCCTTGGGGATGATGCTGAGGTAGCACCATCCCTGCCACCCCAAGGTCCTGAAGAGACCCTGCCGGATAGCGGGACTGGCAGTCGCTCCTTCAGGGCTCCCCAGGTACTCTCCTGTGCCTCCTTGCAGCAAGGGTCCCCATCTCATCCCATCCACCCCACCTTTGGACCTCTGGCCTTCCATGCCACCCTCTCCACTGGCCCTGCTGCCAACTTCTCCACCTTCCCATCCAGCTCTGAGTCCCTGTCCTGGGTCCCTTGGGACCCAAGTCATTCTATTTGTTCCCAAGTCTTCAGCATGGTTCCCCTTTTTTGAGGTTGGAACCATTCCCTCCCAGAGGCTCAGGCAGGGCCCACAAGTGGCATGCAGGAATCACTCTGGACACCGGATGCCCCACTGGACCCAGGCCCCAACTGTCCCCCGCCTTTCCCCGGCAGAACCCACCCAGCCAGGACAGCACCGGCCTCGTGGGCTGATGCGTCTGAGTCAGGGCTCTAAACCCCTCCTCCTCCACCAGCCAGACAGCGGTGACTGCGCCTGGCCCCCGGTCCTCCCACGGGCGCCCCGGGGAAGCAGAGCAATGGGGGCCCCATTTCCCCTTCCTCACCAGGAAACAGCAGCAGACACCCTGGCTCCTTAGGGGGAAGTTTATTTCCCGGTCAGAAAAGGAGAAGCAGGGACAGGCTCCTGTGCATTCTACGCCCGGGCCTGACCGGGGAGGGTGGGGTCGGGTGGGGTGGGGGCAGAGGGGACAGCTCCAGCGGTGCAAGCTTGGTCCCACGGTTGTCCTGGCTGGGTCCAGGGAGGGCCTGCTGGGGATGGTGGCACCGAGCCTGGGGGCAGAGGCGGCAGGCCAGTGGGCCCAGAGGACGGCACATATGGAGGCAATAAATACTGACGGGCCAGGCACACGACTCCAGGCCTGCAGGCCAGGAGAAACAAGTAAGGCTCGGCCACTGGCTTTGTCTGCCAAGGGCTCTCTCTTGGGGCCGTGGGCTCTAGGCACTGCCCACTGGGACAAAGAAGGCAGAGGTGTGAGGACACCCAGCCTCCCAGATGGGAACGGAGGCCACTTTTGAGTTTTGGCAATTTGGCTTTTCCCAAGCCCCTGGAGCTGTCCCCGCGGGCCTGGCCAGGCCAGGGAAGACTAGGGACCAGCACATCCCAGAAGCCTTCCCAGGCCACGGGGATCACAGACGGGGTAGGGATGGTGGGGGGTGGGGGGGAGACACCACATGCTCATGCAGACACAGGGTTAGAGGTTAGTGACGCCCCCACAGCACACGTTCCACATGTTAAGGCATCATGGTTAGACCGTTACTGACAGTGATGGATGGACTGACCGGGGAGAGGTGAAAGCTGGAGGAAAACCGGCCCCACGAGGCCCCACGCGGTACACCCCACCCCCACCAGGAAGGGGGCGACAGGAGTCCAGGTAACATAACAGGAAAGGCCCAGGGGACCTGAGCACCCTGAGCCCCACTGCGATGCCTGACTCCCATGCCAAGGACTCAGGTCGGGTCAGGACAGTGGGGGAATCTCGAGGGATACAGAAGGGGAGGTAGAGGCCTCCCTCCCCACAGCACGGGTGGAAGCAGCAACGACACTAGACCACCGAGGAGGCTGGGGCCAGCGGGCTGGGGGTGGAGGAGGGACAGGCCAGTCAGGAGGCAGACCGGGGCGGCGGTGGCGGCGTGGGCGGGCCCTGTCAGCACTTTGGTCTGGGGTCGGGAAGGGTGGGGTGGTGGGGTGGGGCACGTCCGTCCTTCCGTCCGCCCGCCCTGCCCGCCTCCCGGCGTGGCTCAGTCCTTCCATTCCTTCTTGATGGTGAGGTTCCACTCCCAGGACAGGTGGTCAGTCCTGTCATCGTCTGTGAAGCGGGACTTGATGTTGTAGCTGCCTCGAGCCAGCATGCCCTTGGGCGCCTCCTCCATGGGGGTCAGGAACTCATACTCCTCCGCCCGGGGCCCATAGCTCCCCACCATGTAGTCGGTCTTGTCAACTGCAGGGTGCAGGGAGGGCGTCCGTCAGGGAGCAGAGCCCGGCCTTCCCCCGCTCCCTCCCGATGCCCCGCGAGCCCCTGGGTGGCCGCCTCCCTCCTGGTGCCCCCCCCCACTCACTCTTCACGCCTTTCCTGTACGTGTGCTGGATGTACTTCATGCCGGACACGATCTCTCGGTTCACCTGCAAGGAGGCACCCACGCGGGGCTCAGCCAGACTCTCCAGTCTGAGCCCCCAGCGCCCCCCTGAGCCTCCTCCTTACCCGGAAGGAGATTTTTATCCGATATTCCACACCTTCCTTCAGCACAAAGGACTGCTTCTTGAAGCTCTCCAGATCACCTGCGTTTGAGAGGAACGCCACACTAGGAGGTTCAGGTAGAGGAAGCCACTCCGGCCCTGGTGGGGTGCCCCGTCTGCCCCTCTACACACACCCACCCCCTGGCATCCCAGGCCACACCACACACACACACACACACACACACACACACCCCTTGGCACCCCAGGCCAAACACCCAGACACACCCAGACCCACCCCACCCCTAATCCCAGGCCACACCAGAGCCAGAGCCTCAAGACCACTTGGTTGCACTTCCTATGCTCCCCACAAGAGGGCACCAGCACCTCAACAAACTATTTTTAGTGGAAGCAGCAGGGTGCCAGGCAGCCCCAGCCAGGAACCTGGAGATGCCACTCACCTGTCAGGTCCAGCTCCAGGGGGCCCGGGGCAGTGCTACACACCAGGGTCAGTCGGGTCACCACAACATTGGGGACATTGGGGTCTGCGGAGTGACAACAAGTTAGAGCTCCTCCAGCGGGGAAAATAGTGGCGGACACCCAGAAAAGCGACAAGTGTTCACACACCCCACCAGAGCCCACTCACCAGCAGACACAGCCACACGGCCCAGGAGGGCCTCCTTGTACTTGCGCAGACTCTCGTCGTCCTTGTCCAGCTCTTGGATCTCCTGGATGCTCTTCTGGGCCGGGGGCTTGTAGTTGACTGAGTGCTCGTCCTCCTCATTCTCCGCAGCAATCTGTGCTAGCTGCTCAGCTGTGGGCTCCTGCTCAGCCATACTCACCTCTAGCTGGTTGTGAGACACCTGGGAGCAGGGTAGCAGGAGCTGTGGCAGCCTGGAGGGACCCACAGTGTGTCCCCATCTGCCCTTCTGCAGGACCTGCAAGTGATCTGCACTGGCTCTCTGCAAGTGGCCAAGCCCCCAACCTGGGCCCAAGGGGAGGTGCACGTTCTGTAACAGGAAGGCAGTTGACAGCCAGAACTTCGAAAAGGGCCCAGACACAGGCTCCTGAAGCCCAAAGGGGCCACCTCCTCGCCCTGCCCACCTCATAGGACCCTCACCCCAGCATCCAGAGCTAAATGAAAGCTGCAGCCTGCTCTCAGAGGGAACCTAGCTCCCCTGCTGCCCAGGAAGCAGCAGCACCTGGGTCCAACCAGGAAGCATCAGAACCAAGTGCTGCTTCCTGTTCTGAGCTGCTCAGGCCCTCCCCTTAAAAAACCCCTCTTGCTGGGTTCTCTCTGACCAGCCTGCTCCTTCGAAAACGCCCCAGCTACAAACCAAGGCCTTTGTGCAAGACATGGGTCAGTCATGTCTCACTCCAGCCCAAACACAGGGCTCTCCTAGGGCTCAGATGACAGGGCTAGCCCAAGTCCCACAGGTAAGTCCTAAAATGGCCTGAAAGACCCTACCTGTCTGACAAACCGATCTCTTATCTGTAAGGGTCTGTGACCTAAAATTTGGAAACTGCTGCAGCCATGTGATGGGTAGTCTCAAGATCCTCCTTCCGCCCCGGACCCAGAAGAGCCCAGAGCAGTGCTGTCAAAGCGAGAAGTGATGGGGCAGCCACAGGACTTCCTTCGCTCAGGATGACCATCGCACCCCATAGAATCCCTGAGGAGTATCTGAAACCGACTCAGACTAGACCCGGCGGTGTGGGAGGTGGGTCAGGGCCACGGGTTGCCAGGAAAGCCAGCCAATGCCGGGACGTGCATGAGGACCAGATCTTACAAAGGGCCGCTGGGGACCCGGAACCGCCCGGCCGCCACAAGCAGGGTGGGGCCGGCTCGTTTTTCCAAGCTTCCTTGCAGCTTCCTCTGGAATTCCTCTAGAAGGCTCACGCCCTAACGTTACCCAAGAGCGGCCGCAGGCGACAAAATCATTTAAGTGCGATGGCGAGGCCCGCACTTCCGCAGGGCCTGCAATCTGGGCCAGGCGAGACCCGGCAAGCAGGGTGGGGCGCAGGGACCTCACCTCCCAGGAGAGAAGGCGTCCCGCCTGGCCTCGGTCCGCGCGCACCAGCGAGGAGGGGGCTGCCGAGTACGAGCAGCGACCACAAAAGAGGTCTGCACAGACCCCGGCTCCCGCCCCCGGCACCAGCGCCCCCGCCTCCAGATCCCCGCGCCCCCCGATCGCACGTGGGCCCGCCCTGCGCCCGGGGCACCGCCCGCTGTCAATGCCGCCCCCGCCCTGCGCAGATTCCCCCAGCGGGACTGGCGGGCGGGGCGGGAAGCGAGAACAAAGGCGAGGCCCCGGCCTCCTTCCCCGCGGCCGCCTCGCCCGCCGTGCCCACCGCGCTTGCTGGCCCCGCCGCCCGCACTCACCGGAGGATCGTCCGCGCCGCTCTCGCGCTCCCTCCCGCACAGAATGACGAACGTCGCCGCCCCGCCCGCGCGCGCCCTGCCGGCCACTTCCGGGGTCACGCGACTTCCGCTCGCGCCGGGCGGGCCGCGGATAGCGCATGTGCGAGGAGCTGCCGGCAGCGCGTCGCCGCCATCTTGCGGACCGGCCCTGTGGGCGCGTCCGTTTGGGCAGCGCGGCAGAGGAGAGTGATGCGGTTGGGGCTTCTGTGCCCTTTGCCACAGGCGTTTCTTAGTCCCGGGTATCCCCAGGAGTCAGCCGGCAAGCTGAAGGGGCTGGGAAGTGAGACGGTCTCGCTGAGCCCGACGGGAAACCTGGGCGCGGCATGGTATTTCTGCGAGGTGCTGGGACGCGCGTGTGTCACGGGCGCGTCTCCATCAGCGGGCATCTCTCCCTCCGAGGGCACGCAGCCATGAGGCCGCGGGGACGAGCCAGCACAGCCGGTCCCCTCAAGGAACCGGGGTTCGCGAGTGGCAGCCGTCCGGCCTTAGGCTACCTTTGCGCCCACTCGCCGCTCTCCGCCCCCCCGGAAGTTATCGTCGGACGTTCATCCACGGGTGTTCAAATAGCTCTTTCCAGGCCTTTCCCCTTCCAGACCAAGTCAGCATGCGGTCGCCCTTTTGGGAGCTCCTAGCCCAGACGCCACCCGGCGTGGCGACTATCGAACACATGCCCACGCGTTCAACCAGCGAGCATTTTGTAGCCCCAAGCAGGGCCTATGATTTGTAGCCAGCCTGGCAGAACCTGCGCTCCCGACGCCGGTCTAGCACGCATCTCTTCTTCGCCTCCTCGCGGAGTGCAGGACCTCAAATGCTTCACACCCGAGTCATCACAAACACACACCCCTGGATTGCGCGTGGTGGGGGGCCTTTTAGGTCACAGAACCTAATGTGAAATACTGACCTTGGTATATTTTGGAAATGTCTTAATTTGGGGGGAATATTTGCGAGTTTTCTGTAACTAAGAATCACATGGTCAGCTTAACATGTAGAAAATTGAATTGGTCAAAGGCAGAGTATTCCTATCTTGTATTTATTCCATACGCGCTTTTGAGGCTTCCTGTGGGCACAAGTGAAAAGCGCGCCCTCGTCCTCTGTCCTGTTACACTGCAGAATCGCTGATTGAGCAAAAGTTTGTTTTTCGATAACCTAAGTGCTTTATGAAAACTATCAAACTCTGTTATATTAGTCACCTATTGCTGTGTAAAAACATAACCTTGGAATTTAGCAGCTTAGAGCGACCAATATACACCTTCACCGAGGATCAGGGAGCGCTCTGCTGGGTGTTTCTGGCTCCAGTCTAGTGAGGTTGTGGTTGAACTGTGAGCCAGGGCCCTGGTTTCAGGATTTACAGGAATTCCAAGCTTATGCACGTGCTGTGGGCAGGAGGCTCTGATCCTCACAGGCTGTTGGTTGGAGGATTTAGTTCCCTGCTGCCCACAGCTTCTGGCTTCTCTGTAAGGCAGCTGGCTTTCCCCGAGTGAGGCCTCAGAAAGAGAATTCGAGCCAGGGAAACAGCAAGTGCCCAAAACCAAGCCACAGTGCCCTTTACAACCTAGTATCAGAGGTGCCATTGCTTCTACTCTTCTGCTGGTCACGTGGAGCTTCCCCAGTACAGTGCTGGAGGGGGCCACAGGGACATGAGGACAAGGAGACGTGCTGGGCTATTCAGCCATCTTGGAGGCGGCCCACCACATGGATGAAGGTAGAAAGAATGGGAATATGAAGCCCAGAGTATATACCGTCAGCTTCTGTAGGTGCCCTCCAGCTTTTCTCCAACCCTGTGTCATGTTTGCCCTCATCTCCTTACCATGAGTGAGTTTGAAGCAAACCTCAGATGTCACTTTTGCCATACATGTTTTCACATGTGTTTCTACACACAATATTCTTAAGTAAAAAGGTCGTTTGGGAGTTGATAACAGCAGTGCCATCATCCCACCTGCTGTGTAGCCAGAACTTCCCTGGTGGTCCAGTGGTTAAGATTCTGAGCTGCCAAGGCAAGGGGAACGGGTTCAATTCCTGGTCAGGGAACTAAGATCCCATATGCTGCTTGAAGTGGTAAAATGAAAACAATAACAAAAAGATGACCATGTTGCATAGCGCTCAGCCTGGGCTGTTGATCCAAGGACTTCCCATGTGGCTCCTGTGGAATTTTGGCCACTGGGACTTCAAAAACAAATGTTCCAAGAAACCTGTTTTCTGTGCCTGAAGGAAGGAGAGGGCCTAGCAGTAAGAGCAGGTGAGAATCAGGAATAGAGATACATGAAACAGTAGCCAACATTGAGTTCACAAATCACTGAGTTTATTACACACAATTACAAAGAAGGGACTAGGGGGTAATGTACCACTCCAGGGAGAAGCTTGAGACGGAGCCCTCTAAGTATGATCTGCGTCTTTAGTCCCAGGGCCATAGGTCTCAAGACAAACATGAATGGGAAGTTGCCTTCTGCTCCAGCAGGGCCTCTGGCAGTGTCCAAAATAGCTGGAACAGCTCTCAGCAGTGTGGAGTAGGTTCCTCCACAGAAGAGTCTTCAAAGTAATGGGTGTAGTGGTCTCTTCTTAAGGAGCAGCAGTTAATCCTAGGGGGAGGGGTCTTGACTCTTAACAGTTGTTCTTTTTCTTTGAGTGACATACATCATCCTTCAAGCTTCTTATCTAAACTAATACTCTTAGTTTATCACTTAAGATACAGTGCTACAGCAGACATTTCAAAACAACTAACATGGAAGTTCACATTGGCCAGTGTGACACTTATTTTTAACTACTTAACATATCTTCACATAGCTTAAATCCCATGAGTTTCACACAAGGTGAGTAGTAATCATAACAGAAATCACTTCATAACAGATTAGATTCCACCTCTCAATGGGAAGAGAAGCAAAGGATGATGTGTGGCCTTCTACCACACACTGCCTCCCAGGACCCCCCAGAGTCTCATCCCATCATGGTTTCTGGTCAGGACTCAGGTGAGGATGAATCTGGGGGTGTGGCTTCTCTTAATCTGAAAATGGGGGCTGAAGACCCAGAAGACCTGCTTTGTGGCACGAGGCAAACCTATATCATCTCACTCCCTGACCATCAGAATTGTGACCATAATAAAATGTGTGTTTCACGCCAAGTTTTGTAGTAATTTATAGAGCAGTAAGTACCTGGAATACCAACCAAGAAAATTAACAAATTCTTTTTTTTAAATTATCTGTATTTAGTTTTGATTGCATGGGGTCTTCATTGCTGCCTGTGGGCTTTCTCTAGTGGCAGGCAGGGGCTACTCTTCGTTGTGATGCATGGGCTTCTCACTGCGGCAGCTTCTCTTGTTCGGGAACTCAGGCTGTAGGCACACAGGCTTCAGTACTTGCATCACGCAGGCTTTAGTTTCTCCCCAGCATGTGGGATCTTCCTGCACCAGGGATTGATCCCATGTCCCCTACATTGGCAGGGGGATTCCTATCCACTGTACCACCAGGGAAATCCAACAAATTAATCACTAAAGATCTAAACATTATTTTCCTTGATTGTACTGAGTGGTTTTACTTTTGGTTAGAACTTTGTACATGGCGTTAGTTGTACTAGTATCATAATAGGATCATTGTCTCTGCTCCTTGCAGTGTCCTGTTGAAGGACCAGGGTCACTGGTCCTTCAAGTCTCCCACAACTCTCTCTGGATGGCAACACAACATCCAGTACTGACATTGTGTCCCTGCCCTCCATCCTTTCTGAAGGTACAGGTTGGACTGGCAGGAGCTGGACCCTTTTGGAATGTGACACATTTCTGGGGGAGGGAGGGATGACACTGTTTTGAACCTTTTATCAGATTAGCAAAGAATCTTAAGAGATGTGACATGACATGATGTGGCCACACCCTGAGCACCCAGTGTGGCTGGGGAGGGCTGTAAAAGTATACCTTGAACCTTAACAGTATTCTGAGGAAAGAACTGTGGCTGTGTGCAAAGATTTACTTACAAGGACTTTAAAAAAATATATATTTATGTGGCTGTGACAGGTCTTAGTTGTGACCTGCAGGAGCTTCGATCTTCCTTGCAGTGTGCAGGTTCTTTTAGATGTGGCTTGTGGGATCTAGTTTCCTGACCAAGAATTGAACCCAGACCCCTTGCATTGGGAGTTAGCCAATGGACCACCAGGGAAGTCCCAAACATAAGGACATTTATTACAGCATTTTCACAGTATCAAATGTTTTCATAACAAGCTCTGAAAAGCAGAGTAGATCACTGAGCAGACCCAGAGCATCTGCTGCTGCTGCTGCTGCTAAGTCACCTCAGTCGTGTCCGACTCTGTGCGACCCCCCAGAGCATCTACACTGTAATAAATAAACGTATTAATTTAAAAACCCTGTGGTGAACTAAAACTTTTTACATTATTCAAATAAAAATATTTAAGACATAGAAAGTCAGCTTTACTGAGGCAGAATTTACAAAATCCATCAGTTCAAAGTTGACAATTCAATTATTTTTTAGTAAATTTGTAGAAGGGCATAATCCTCAGGCCAAGAAAGTTTCCCTTGCACTATTTGTAGTTGACACCTACTCTAAGCCCTCTTTCCCCCCAGACTCTGGCAACCACTGTCCTGCTTTCTGCATCTGTACATTTGTCTTTCCTGGACAGTTCATGTTAGTGGAATCACACAATATATAACCTTCTGGTGTCTTGTGATTTCACGTAAGGTTTTGCAGTCCATCTATAGTGTAGAATGTATACTTTGTCTTGTTTATTGTATAAGTATAGCGTATTTTGTTTTGTATTCACCTGTCAGTTGATGCACTTTTGGTTTCCTTTTTGTCTGTTATGAACATTTACATTTGTTTTTGCATGAATGTTTGGTTTGCTCGTTATCTTGGGTAGATTGCCAAGAGTGGATTTCCCTGTGTTTTCCAAGGTGTGTGCATGCGTGCTAAGTTGCTTCAGTTGTGTCCAACTCTTTGTGATCCTATGGACTATATAGCCCACCAGGCTCCTCTGTCCATGGGATTCTCCAGTCAATAATACTAGAGTGGGTTGCCAGGCCCTCCTCCAGGGCATCTTCCCAACCCAGGGA